GGATACGGACTCCTTCGGTGTCAGGTACGGTGTGGTTCGTCCAGTTCAATGCTCTGGAGGCGAAGTGCCTGGAGCGGTGCGTGAGGCGAAGTCTTGAGTTCGGATGGGGGGGGGTGTCCCGAACTGTCATGAGACGGGCCAGTTCGGGTCTCTGCTTTGTGTGACAGGGCAAAAGGGAGAGTTCGGGCTCCTCGTAGGGAGTTCGAGCTCTAAGTAGGGAGTTCGGGCTCCTCGTAGGGAGTTCGAGCTCTAAGTAGGGAGTTTGGGCCCCTTGTAGGGAGTTCGGGCTCCTCTTAGAGTTCGGGCTCCTTGTAGGGATTTCGAGCTCTAATTAGGGAGTTCGGGCCCCTTGTAGGGATTTCGAGCTCTAATTAGGGAGTTCAGGCCCCTTGTAGGGAGTTGGTCTCCTCGAGGGGAATTCGGACCGCTGGTCTCTCCCCTTGGGTGTTTTGTACCCTCGGTATGCTGTTTTAAGTGCCGAGCTACTTGTTTTTTGCCACGTGGCGTGATTTGCGAGGTCGGGCCAAATCTTCCTTCATCAGTTACTATTAAGCTTATTACTTGAGTAGATAGTGCACTAGCATGTTTTCTTGCCTATCCTCCATCTGATATATTTATCTATTTCATTTTATGACATGGTAAATTTCGATTTGTAGGGCTCATATATGATGATGGCCACAAGATTGTCAGTGATCCGTGGCCATCCAGTAAACAATATACATACATCTTCTAGGTGTTTGAGATCAAGATTTCTTGTTCTGGCTTGCCTTCACAAGACTGCATTCGCATCAACTTGCAGACTCTTTCCCCAGCTTTGTTTCTCTCATGTATCTGCACCTTCTTCAGTAAACAGTCCCAAGTAAGTTCTTGACATGATTCATAAAGTTCTAAAATATCCATAAATGATATGTGGTGGTGGGGTCTGGTTGAGATAATAAGACACATATTGCAATTCTCTTTGGCCTAACTCAAAGTGTGAATGGTGGTCAACACATAACATAAGTGTGAAAGGTCCATTGTAATTTTTTATGGGCATAAATAGTTTGGCATGCTGTGCTGTTCATTTTGGGGAGTCATTCTCATCATAAATTTCATACTTGAATGCTTTAAATTATATGTAAATGGATGTTGAAATTCCTAACTCAAAATATTGCAGTTTATATACACTTGGAATATATACCATCATAGTTAACAGAAGGAAGATATAAGTGGTTGAAATGGTTGAAGTAATCACCACAGGAAATGAACAAAAGTGTGTAGGAAATGGCAGAGAGATGAACATCAGTATGCTAGTTCCAACAAGAAGCATCTTTCCTAGTCATTTGACAAGTGTTGTTTGGATTTTTCTAGTATTTCTCCCTGATTTTCCACCCTTGTCCTTAACCTTCCCGATCTGTCTCAATGTGTCTGTTTCTGAAATGTGTTTTCCAGGAAATAGCAGTTTTATTTGGAAAGAAGTTCTTTTTTAAAAAAACATAGAATATGATGCCATTGCTCCAGCATAATTACAAAAAAGAATGCTATACATGGATATATAAACTTAAAATGGTCATCGGCACAAATACTTGTGAAAAATTTGAATGCTGGAAAAATATGAAATACATTTGAGGCAAAGTAGTATATCAGTAAATATTGGAATACAAACTCAAGGGCCAATACCAAATGTTGGACATGGCTATCCAGGGTCTTGGGAGGGGTGGACTGCTTACAGACCTAACCTTATGGCCTTTTCTGCACAAAGTGGCAGCTCTCACCTGCAATCTCGAGTTTGTCAGCCTAAGGTTATACCAGAGCACCAAGCAATAGCCCCTTATTGGAATGCAAACTCATTACTTTTCAATATTTTAAAACATTTTTGGCTGGAATTTTTTTTTAGCATTTTCTGGCTGGAGTTGTGGGGATAGCCTTACAAAAAGAGAAAACCTCTCTGATTCCTTATCTGCAAAATCTGTAGATGAAGGCCAAGTGGCCCTCTTGTTTTTTGAACTGGAATTGGATGTAGAAATTCTATACTTGTGAGAATGTTGAGAAAGTACATGGTTAAGGTACTGAAGGGTTATTTTTCTACCTAATGGAGTGATGAGATTCTGTTCATCTATTCATGTATCCATGATTTTGAAATGTATAATTTCAAACTACTCTTTGGATATAGCATGGGACTGGTCCAATAACTGTATCTACATCAATCCACACTCATTAGAATTTATTCAATTTGGAAAATATTATAAAATAATATAGGGTAACTTCTTCTTTCCCAGTCCAGTCAATAAGGTTATGAAATAGTTGAACTTATTTATCTATCATTTTACTTATAATGGATTTACCTGGATGCATACACGATTTTCTTTTAGCATTTCTAGGATCAGGTCTTATGTTAGGGGGCTAAGAGTGGTATTACTTAACAATCCAATTTATTCTGCTTGTTCATTGGGATTGGTTCTTCTTTGTATATCCTTATTCTATCACTGATCTCCGATTTTGTAGCCACAGCCCAACTCCAAGTTTGAGAGTTTGGYCAAGGAAAGGTTTTCTAGAGCTTTTAGATTGCTCAGCTTTGTTGATAATGTGGATTTTCAATGGAGGGTCTTCAACATGTTCATTTCTTTTCTTAGTCAATTCATTAGTTGCTATTACTTCTTATGAAAGTACCTGGACTTTATCTTTTATTTAACATATGTATTTAAACTTTTGTGTAAGTATAGACACATTATCTTGTTGAGAAGCAATATTTGGGATATTCCTTTATTTCAACCACTGGTCCTTGTTTAACTAAATATATCTTCAATTTTCTGTTTTGTAATTTTCATTTAATTGTTTTCTAATAGTGGGCTCTCTAAGGAGATCTACCTTAACTGTCAAGTTTAGTTTGTACACATTATCTGCTTCAGAGTTTATTACCACAAGCAAAAAGGATTCAGCCCCCAATTTATGCCACATGGAGTTCCTTACCTGGGAATGCTGTGATTGCAAAATGGTGGTTTGGTCTTACCTGGGAATGTTGTTTGATGATCATATGTAGTTGGGCCAAGTAGGCTTCTTTTCTAGATGTTCCCACCTATTTATGCTACATTGGGGGATTGTATGGCCAATTCAGGCCATATGGCAGATTGGGGCCCATCTGAATTGGCATGGGTTTACTGTGCCAGTTAATATTACATGGAACTCCCATAAATGGATGAAGTGTCCATGTTAGACATGCATTGGGTACACTCATAGATTCTTTAAAGACACCTCCATGCAAAATTTTACTTTTTCTTCTCCATTCTTATTTTATGTAAATGAATAGATAATGTACATTTCATTCACATGAAATGATTAAATTCAATTTAATGTAGTGGGGATATAAAAACTTTAACCTGATAAAACCAAAAAAAAAAAAAAAAATTGTAGAGGCCAGATGAAAATAATACAAGAAAAACCATCCACCAAGTTGGCTCAAAAATCCAATTTGAAGTGCCAAACTCAAAGGCATGCTATATCAAGAAACATATTCTTTCCGAAGGCAGGTCAGTAAATGGTGCTGAAGATTATTCCAATATAGATTGATTATATGATATGCTATTTTTTCACATAAAACATTAGTTAGTAAGTAATGAAATAAACTTTTTGATCCTTTTTCTCTAGTTATACAATGTTTATATAGACTATTTTAATGGTAAATATTTTTCTGTTCATGTATTGATAATTCTATTTTTTTTCCATCCTGTCAACTCAGATTCTTGAATATCATTAGATTCCGATTCCCATGTCCATGTCTATGCGACACTGGCACCAATGTATCTCAACCCCATAAACCACCTTGTATTGGAGCTTTCCTTGAGTGGTATCCGTCATTCAAATTTTTAATTTTTCTTTATAAAACGTTAAAATAGTACCTAGAATAAAGGGATTATATTGGACAAATGGCAATGAGTTTGGGTTGAATCTGCCCATGGACAAAAGAATTTATGAGGAACATCTAGGTCTAATGGTTAACTGTTTGTTAAACTAACCACATTGCCTCAAAAAAAAATTCCCAGATTTTTCTGTCTATTTATATGAATGCTCACACTCATACATGTACATACATATATATTAGATGTACTGAACAAAGCACTGCCCCAACTGCATAGGGTTGGCTACATAATCTTGTTTTGCCATTCTGCACCATTTGGTGTAATTCCAATTGTTATTTGTTAAGTTGTGAACCCTTAATCATTTATCAGTTATATGTATATATGTATGTATGTATGTGTGTATGCATGTGTAGGCAGCATCATATTTCTTCAAAGGTCCTGATAGCATTAGGAGGGTAGCTGATATAGTCCTTCTATGGCTAACTTTATAGGATAAGAACTTCTCAGTTGGGGGGTTGATATATTATGGTAGCATTTACACTTCAGGATGTAAGAGATAGCTCATGAATGAACTATTGTGATCCTCCTATGAAAGGAAAAAAAAGGTTGGGGGCTTTACCATGTTACGTGGGCATGGCACAAGTATGAGATCTAACATGATATGAGGTGTTGGGCTCAGGAGCCTGAAAAGATTAGATTCGTGGAGAGGAAGGCATTGTTTAATTTTATTACTTTTCTAATATATTTTAGTATATATATATATATATATAAAAAAAACTAGTGGAATAAAGAACAAGTTAAATGTACAAGTTTATATCGATGCAAGCTACACTAAACAATCAAAATAATTTATAATTTATTAAATTGCAATAACATACTTCACTCATTTGTTATGTTCAAATTATATTCTTTGTACTCTATGCTTCAAGGACTCTTTACTAAAATGGATAAATTGTAAGTGAAGATGTTTATACACCAATTCTGACACACAACTAAAGAGGACTCCTCTTGCTGCGTCTGATATTAACTGATTATGCTAAACATCAGGTATGTGTACATGCATTCACAAATTCCCCTCCAGAAATCATGTGTCAACATGCCCACCATGGGAATTATCTTTTTTATTCTATTTTTTTTTTCTTTCTATGCATAATTTGTAAAATAGATACAGCTGATTACTCTATATTGAGAGGTACCATAGCCTATCATTTTAAATATAATCACAACTAAGGCTCTTTTCTTTGTAAAAATGGAGAAACTAAATGAAATTATAATGCACAACTATGTATCTTCTGAAAAGAAAAAAAAATAAAACCAAGTGAACATGTTATAGAATATTAAAATATCTTCAAAATCTATCTGAGACAAATTATGCAACAGTCTGTGAACTATGGATTACATGCCCCTACCCATTTGTCAATATCATGCCTTTTAATTTGTCTTGTGAAAAGATTGTTCAGCTAGTTTTGAGGGTTCTTTAGTTTCAACTGAGATCAGAGCCTGCACATTGAATAACACCACAACACTAAACTCTGGATTCTAGGAACTAACATAATGGTCTTAGGAGAATTCACATTGAACAGTGTGATTTGTTGGTCATCATCTCAAAAATTTTACATGTTCTATAAATCTTTATGCAGTTTGAGAATCTTGATTACCAACTACTGGGTCATATTATTTTAAAAGTCAATAACTCATAAAAAATAATTGCAAAAATAAAGATTGAGTTTGCTAAAAACTGTCCATTCTCTAATTGAAATTTCTTGTTTGCCAAGTGGAATAACTCTATTTTTATCTATTAGGAGGATGATATGGTCTGTTAGGAGCAGTGTTGATGGTAGTGGAGTGGAACCTCCTGGGAGTAGCACCAATGGGGGCACTCGACTTGTTAGAGCCATTCAAACTTTTCAAATCAAGTTAAATGCAAGATTTCAGGAGTTGAGGAAAGGGCTTCCACTGAAAATATTGTTTTTCTTGGTGGGCTTCTATTGTGCAACTGCCTTTGCCACTGTTATAGGGCAAACGGGTGATTGGGACATCCTCTCTGCTGGATTGGCTGTAGTTGTGGTTGAAGGGATAGGAGCCCTTATGTATAGGAGCTCTTTTCCTTTGTTTGACAAGATTAGGAGTCTGATCACTATTTTTAATTATTGGAAGACTGGGCTTTCTTTGGGTCTTTTCTTGGATGCATTTAAATATGAAATGGATAATATTCTTGGGTTTTGTAATCCCTTCAATTTTGAAATAGATTTGTTTCCCACATTCTTGTAATATCCTTTTCGAAAGCTGTTTACTGATGTGCTTTTTATTTTTTATTTTATTTGGTAAACTTTTGGGGTTCAAAGAATCACACACTGTTTAGATTAGATGTTGGAGGACAAAGGATTGACTCGGTGTCTAAAAGAAATGTCACCTCATGGCTCTTAGCCGCTTGAAGGAAATTGTCCTTTGCCTAGTGAGGATTGCAAGGAAATGGTTATTGCCCCCTAGGATCTCTTTGTGGGGAGCTGCAATTAACTTTCCTCTTGTTCAATTTTCCATACAATTGGAGTGTTCCTCCTTCATCGGTCATCACAATGTTTATTTTGGTGATTGTCACGGCTTCATTTGGGAGGTAGGGGTGGAAGCGGTCGAGGGGCCATGGGCAGGGCGGCGAACAAGCCCGATCTCCCAAAAGCAAAGACCATGCAAAAACCCTTAGAGCTGGGAATATCTCTCATACTTGTATGTGAAATTCATGGGGAGATGTTCCTTATTGGCTAACCGTGCTGTCACAGTGTTTACTTTTAGGAAACCCATCTGATCGAATCAAATTGGATTTGGATAGATCTAAATTTGATTGTTTATATTCTAATTTGAATCTTATCCATTGGATTTATCAGATTCAAATTGAGTTCAGATTGCGATCTGATATGGAGTGGTATTAATAAATTAAATTATAAATTATCAAAATATTATATATTATTATAAAATGAATAATATTGAATTTCATTAACAAAATAAAGTAGAAATAATTTAATAAAAATGCAACATTTAAACCAACTCCACTGATAGATACAAATATACAATATAAACTAAATTCACATCTGCACCCCACCCTGCAGCGAGACCTGATCTGCTCCTCACACCTGGCGCCTCACATGCACATTCTACCATGCATTTGGAATATCTCCCGTATTTATCAATTATTATTCACGGGAGATGTTTTCAATGCACGATGGATGTGCATGTGAGGCGCTCATTTGTGAGAAGCAGATCCTGTCTCCCCTACAGCACATTCCAACCGTTATTGGGAACATCTCTCAATGTACACTGAGATGTGCATGTGGGGCACTAATGTGATCTCTATAAATTTGGGCTTTCTTTTATAAAAAAAAGGATAAAGTTTTAGAGATTGACAAAATCAGATACATTTAGAAATATACTGTAAATGGTTTTTAAAACCAACATGGAGACCAAACCGGTCAGGGGTCCGGTTACTGGGTCAAACTCGAACGGTCGGCCCGTTCTGACAAAAATTAAAAAAATGAAAACCATTCAACGGTTTTTATGGAAAATCCGGTTTTGGGGATAATCGGAACCAATCACCTGACCAGTTCCAGTTTTTCCGGTCCGACCGTCCAGTCTGGTCCGATTTTGAAAACCATGGTAAAAACAGTAGTCATGACAGAAATCTTCTCTCCCCCCTCTTCTTCTTCTTGTTCCCACCTTTACATTTTTGGTCAACTAACCCAGGGGCCAGGTCCAAACCCTACTGAACATCAAAACAAAGCAGAACTGAATCACATCTTCCACCCTCAAGCCGAAATAGAGTAGCAAAACTGCTGGTCCCCACTTCGTTTCCTCTCCGAGTCTTTGTCTTACCCTCTTTCGTCCTCTTCTTCTTCTTCCCCTACCTCTGTCGCTGCAATCAACCCTGAAGATTTAGTCCTTCAGTTACATTTGTAAAATAATGGTCAATCTGGTGAACGGGAATTTTCAAAAAAAAAATCTGGTGAACGGGAAAGAAATCCAACTCTTATTACCCTTGTTGCAAGAACAACTCTACCTTTTCCTCAGTCTCTCTTCTTTAATTTATTTTCTCCAATTTTCTCTGGTTTTCATTTTGATTTAAGAGCAACACTAGGGACTCAAGCAAAAAAAAATGTTTCAGCAAAAACACAAACGAATGAAGTATTGTATTTGAAGAGGGGAGAGAGTTGAAACTAGAAGAAATGAACGGGGTAGAGAAGTTAGGATTAATTAATGGAACCCTTTCATTAATCTTGTTTATCTATTTTCTTGAAAACATAGAAATAGAATGGGGGAGACCAGGTACAGACGTACAGTTAATCAATGGAACTCTTCATAAGTCCCACTTATTTGTTATTTCTTGAAACCAGAGAAATAGATTGGTAGAGAGCAGGCACAGTTAATCAAACGGAACTCTTCGGCAGTCCCACTTATTTGTAAAGCCAAGTTGTTCAAATGTTTGAAGAATCGTTGTTTACTCCATTGTGGGTTGAATTTGAGGATCAACCGAATGGGTCAAGAATGAGCAGCAGCCATTTTAATGTATTAACTAATTAGACGATCCAGGAATGATTGGCAACCAACCTGGTGTCAATCTCTTGACCATAATCCCCTGAATAAGACGATCAAATCTCTTTTTAACTTTGACTTTGCTGTGGAGTGTTAGATCCATCTTGATAACCTATGTCTGAGCTTTTTTGCAATCGACTTGATTTGTTATAGTGGAATACAAACAACAAGAGAGAGCAAGGGAAGGGGATTTTGATTGAAAGGAAACATAAAGATGACTACTGCCATTAGTGTCTGAACAGTACCGTGAACTTTAGGGTTGTGTCAAGTCAGTCTCCAAATTTTAAAATGTCTCTTCAATATCCTGAATTTTCAAATTGTGCTAATAAGTCCTTAGTTAGTTGGCCGTTAGTCAACACTGTTATGTGATATCAGGTGCATATTAAATAATTTCAAAATGGTAAAATTATGTTTTATGATATTTTTTTAACTATTTTACCCATTGGAGAATAAGGGTTATGAAACCTGACAAGTGATCATTCGTTAAACGGGAAAGCTTGAAAGGAGAGTGGGAGCTTCAACAGTTGATCGGTGTCCAATTGCATAACCCTAAGGTTACTTTTAATAATTTGAATTTATTTAATATGCACCTGATGTGTTAACTTGAAAGTTCAGGGTAGAGACATGTTTTAAAGTTTGGAAACTGACTTTGACACAACACCCAAAGTGTAGGGTAATGTTAAGGAATTTTCCCTCTTTTTAATCTGTTCGGACTGGTTTTACCTAAATCCCACCCCTTGACAAAGCTTAAAAAAATTGTACTGCAAATGAGAGGACGAGAAATGTAAATTTTGCATCATGTGGACGACTGCGCGACAGGAGCCTGTGGAGGATTGCCCTTGTGGGTGCTTCACTTGAGATGCTCTAACATGGTCTCTCAACAATTGCTAATGGAAAATAAAGCACAGACCAGATGTTTAGAAATGGAAATCATTGATCATGCAAACTTAACGTAGACACTCTTAGTCTTAGGTGGTGCCCATATATACCAACCGTCCTTCATTGGTTCATTTTGTAATTTATGGTAGCAACCCGCATCGACATTTTTTTTTTTTGTGAAAGAACAATAAACACCACGAAAACCATCCACATTTGGAAGTAGATAGAGATTTCAGTGCTGTAACGAAGATTGTTGTTGTAGATGTGTCCTGCATCCAGAAGCAGCTCAACTTTCACTGGTAGGTAGTGCTGGAGCAACGTTTACCTTGGTCCTTGGTTATGTCCTAGTCCAATCTATCTACCATCCAAGAAACAAATGGACAGTGCTTGGAGTTGGAGACCAAACCAAGATCCTCGTTTCAAAGTTGAAACCATTAATCCAATCCTCTATCCATCATTAATCTTCTCACCCTCTCTACTTCCTCCAGCCTACCTGCATTCTTATAGATCTTCATCATAAGCTCAAAGTTATGAGCATTATCAGGCTCCAACTCAAAGAGCCTTTCTCCAGCCTTCTCTCCCACATCCACATTCCCATGAACGGAGCAAGCAAATAGTAGAGCTCCCCAAACAGTAGGACCAGCCTCTAATTCCATCCTCTTCGTTATCATTTCATAAGCTTCATCGATTAACCCTGCCCTTCCGAAGAGGTTCACCATGCATGCATTGTGTTCCATGGTTGCTGATATTCCATATTCCCGTTTCATCTTGGAAAACAGTTGTTTCCCTTCCTCTACTAAACCCAAATGAGCACACGCTGATAGTAACGAGACAAATGTGACACCATCTGGTAAAACACCATAGTTCTCCATCCGCTGGAAATATATTAGCGCCCGTGGATCTTTGCGATGGCCTGAGATTATGGAATTCCATGATACAACATCCCTCTCCAACATTTGCTCAAACACCCGGCGTGCTCTGTCCGACTTGCCAAATTCTGAGTACATACCAATCAAAGAATTGGAAATGGATAAATTCTGCCCAAGCCCGTGGCGCAGAACCCACCCATGAATCTCAACTCCAAGTTTAGACGACGAAAACCCTGCGAGAATCGAGGATATGGCAATGCAATCCGGCTCAAAACCGGCACGAAGCATCCCCCGGAAAATGTCCAATGCCTCGACCAAAAGGTCGTGACGGATGTAACCCGTCAACATCGAGTTCCATGAAACCAAGTCTTTATCAGCAATCCTGTCAAACACCTTCCGAGATTTTACAATGTCACCGCATTTGGCATACATGTCGACGAGGGCGTTAAGCACAAATACATCAGCGGCGAAGAATCCCGAACGAACAATGTGGCGGTGGATTTCCTCCCCAAGTCGAATCGACCCAAGACCAGCACACGCTTTCACAACGCGTGGGAAGGTGAACCGATCAGGCTGGACACCCTCCTCCACCATTTGTAGATAAAGTGCCATTGCATCTTCACAAAGACCCAGTTCAGCATACCCGGAGATGAGGGAGTTCCAAGCGAACGCAGACGCGTCTCGCCTTGGCATTTGATCGAAGAGCTGATGAGCCTTGTCGACGTATCCACACGAAGCATACAGCCGAAGGAGCTTCGACGACAAGCCGGTACTCTTGCGGAGGAGGGTCGGGGGGATGAGACGGTGAATTCGGATGCCGTGGTCGATTGCGCGCATATGGAAACATGTCTCAAGGAGGGAGGAGAAAATCTGGGGTTCGACTTTGATGCCCTTTTCTACTGTGGTTTCAAGGTCGCTGACAACGGCCTCGAGCGCTTGGTGTTTTGTTTGTAGATGGGGAGTTGGATTTATGAGGAGGGGAGTTGGATTTGATTTCGGAAAAGAGAGAGTGGTGTCGGAGGTATAGTGAGTGTTCCTTCGATGTTGCTGTTGTTTCTTCTTTTTCTTGGTATTAATGGAGGAGTTGAATAAGAAGTTATGATTAGACGTACTACTACAACTACTATATCTGGTCTGGATCACCAATTGCATTGCATGGGTTTATTGAGGAGCAAGGCCACAGGGGATAACAGAAACAGAAAGAGCGCGTAATGTGTTTAGTGGATTTTAATTGGACTGGACACAGAAAAAGACCGAACCGCTATGCACTAGCACATCTAGCGGCCGTAAAGATTAAAGAATATGGTTTGGACTTTGGAGAAGTTGGGACTTGGGAGGGAGGATGCCATTTTGCTTTTGGGGATCAGGGGAAAAGAAAAAGGAAATTTTGGTTGGTTTTGTACTAAGTTCCATAGTCAATGGGGCTCTCCCATTAATTCACCAAGGTGTCTATGTGAAGTAACGTGGCATGTACAACAAGAGCCCAGTCAACAGCCCAGGCTGTCTAATAAAACAGGYTTAGTCTGCCATGCTGTGTCGGTACTCGGTAGTATGATTTTTAGGTATTTTGATGTCTTAGTTTAAAAGCTTAATGTATTATTCTTTGAGAAGGGGGTGGGGTGGTCGACCATCTCAGGTGCATATCCTTGGCACTATCACACATCCCTCACAAAAAGGTTGTATACAGGGGCGTATCGGTATTAAAAATTTATCGTTCAATGTTTTTTTTTAATTTAATTTTTAGAGATGTTTTTAAGTATTTTTTATTGAAATAAATAAGACCCATATCGGTACTAAAAATTTATCGTTCAATTTTTTTTAATTTGATTTTTAGAAATATTTATAAGTATTTTTTATTAAAATAAATAAGTTTCAAAACACCTATAAATAAATGTATATATGTCCAATATATTTTGAACCATGTCACAAGGCGCAAGAGAATTCTGGTAGATTAAATGACCATCAGGGTTGCGTTGGGTTTCTCATGAACACAATCGTTCACATGGACAATACATGAATCAGCATTGTGGCTCGTGCATCAGAGGGAGACTTGGCAATAAAGGTTGGTCATATTGGTGCCCCATCTTTRTTATTTATGCTATCCCTTGCCCTAGTGTCACGGTCTGACACATAACAAMGATGAATCATGAATGAATTCATGATTTAATGCCACTAGCCTTAGTGAAGCCATCAATGCGTTTACACTTAAACCCTTTAACGGGCTTATTCTACTGTCGAAGTCTAACCCTGTGACACCATGTTAGCCATCAATTGATGCCCCACAAGTACAGCTAATCGAAAATCAAAGAGGGACAATCATTTCATCAAACTCACTACGGATATAGTTTGTTTGGCCAATTACAAACCCAACACAATCATCCTAAGTTCAGATTGGCGGAATTGTATATCATATCAGAGTCAAAAATCTCAACAAATAATAACCTTTTACCACATCATCACAACCACCAATTTGTAGTTGCATCATCAGCGCACTCCCTCACCTACGGCCTAAAAAGCAGTATTTTCAAATCTATCTTCACTATTCTTCTTGCTTCTTTCTCGGAGCACATGTTAGTGGCAGCCTGGCAGGTCTTGTTCCTAAAGAGCTAGGGTGAGAGGCAGGAACAGGATGCAGGAGTAGACTTGATAAACTACAAAGCGAAGAAACACTATTGAAGTAGCTGAAATTTCATAATTGGTGGACATGTCTACTCCTAAATAATATACAATGTCCATATGCCAACCTGCAGTACATGCTTAAAATATTTCCATAGAAAATTACAAGGACAATGATTGTGTTGGGCAATGCTCATCAGAATACAGGCAAGAAAACACAAATGAAACAAATTTACATTAGCATGGGATCCAGTCCCTTTTAACAATCTATTTATTGGTGCTGAGTGCTGACCAGAACAAAATTTCTTATTGGTACTTTTGAATAATCCACCCGTACTTGTCTCGATATGTGCAGTAGAAGAAAAATAAATGCTGTCAATTGTGTTTGGGTATATATCAGATGAGCCTTCATGCATCAATTGTAGGACCTGGATAGGCAGGAAGGCTCATTATCCGCTTGTCTAGAACTGGACCTCCAATGGTAAAATGATACAAACTCTGAAAATCTGATCCTTTCAACCCCAGAACCTCATGGACTGCAAAATAAGAAAAAAGACTTTTCAATACACATTGTAAATATGCTGTGATATCCATATCCTTCCAATACCACATGTATGCTTCTTATGCAACATCCCATGAAAAAATAAACTTGTTTTTTCAAGTAATATTTTAAAAACAGATAATATGTCAATTATGTAATTCTATCTTTTGCCCTTTTCAAATGGGTTAGGAAGGCTACAATTTTAGCATTTTTGGTGGAGAATAAAATAGAAGATAACATCTATTTTATGGTGCAGAAGATAAGTTCTACAATTCTCCAATCCTTACCAAAATCCTTAAGTTCTTGTAGCTATTTCCAAAAATCTGCACAGCCTTCCTAACTCTGGATAAAATCTAAAGTGTAATAATTAGAAAATAATACATTTTTAGCATTCTTGGTGCAGAACAAAATAGAAGCTAAAGAAACAAAATAGAAAGAAACTCGTACCAGCATCATCAAAGTAGCAACCGATCCCAGTTGCAGAGATCCCAACTGCATGAGGTTCTAGGTACAACACCTGACCAAGAATACCAGTCTCCCAGAACAACCGGGGATACATCCAGATATTCTTTTCATGCAAAGTTGGTGCAAAACGTGCCACCATACCTATGCTGAAGCAGCCATCACTGGCAATGTCCTGCATTTAAGCATCATTTCTTTTTCAGATCAATAACAAATAACTTTCATTAATCAATAATCAAAAGCTTTAAGTACAAGAAGGGGGAGATAAACTATCTTAACTCCCCCAAGAGTGGCTGAGGCCCCCAAAAGAAAATTCCAATTAGAATTGAACCCAGAACAAGGATTCCCTATTCACCTCTTGCTTGGCTAACCCATCAGCAAACAAGTAAGCACTTCTCTTCACCCAACTGCACTTTACCTCAATGTCATTAGTCAGCCATTTAAATTTCTTCTTTTTATTGCAGGCATTCCTTTTATTCACTATTCACGTAACAGGATGTTTTTGGAAACTGAATTAGCCAATATTGATAACCATCAGTGTCATCAAACCAATCCAGTCCCATGCTACCTACTACCCCCTTCGGCCCTTCCACTGGCCACACTCAAACAAGATTATATTTGACAGTAATAGAAGGCAATATGCAGGTGAAAAAATATATATTTTTGATAAATTCCTAGTTCCAAGATAAATGCACAACTTCAGGATTTCACAATTATGTGAAGTTGAATCTCTGTTGTTAAAGAATTTATAGATAATTCAAGATGTATTAGAAAGCACTCTTGAAGAATTTACCTATGTCATTGACGGGTTGTCAGTATAATCCTAGAGCTTACATGTTTTTCATATTTATGGCTTTATGCTCCTGAATTTGTTAATGTCATCTGATTGATCTCTTTGAGCAGAATTTTCCCCAGTTCAAAAATCAATGTTTAGAAGAGGACAAAAAAAATGGTTTAAAGAAGAAGTGGCCCACCTGATGACATGAAAGACGCTTAGCAAGCTGTTGAAAATCGCCTCTAGCAAGTCTATATAGAGGAAGATCAGCAGGGCAGTCCTCCGGCTTCTCCCATTCAAATTCAGATCTTGTAGCCCGTTTGAGATCATTGAAGTGATTTTCATTCCTCACTAAGAAATATAAACCCTTCGGCAATCCCGTTACCCTATGAACAAAAAGAACAGCATGAACCTCTGCATCCCAAGGAAGTACCCGAAACGGCAATGCCAACTGTTTCCCCTGCTTCTCCTCTGCCCCTCGAGCACCTGAAGGGAGGCAATGCAGGAGAAATTGATAAAAAGTTTCTTTCCCTATTACAGTAATTCCATCCATATCAACTGCACTCCTCCGCTTCCGAACGACTTCTCTCATCGTCAGACCCTTATATGAACCTTCCGAAAATGATGCGCTCCTCTGAAATGGGTGGATTGTAAATTGATCTCCGGCTGTCAGAGGCTTCTTCACGGCTTCTGCAGTTCTATAAATTATGTCCCAACACACGTGTTCTTTACTAAGAACATTAGGCTTCCCCTTCCATTCCAATTTTGAGAATTCGGATATCGAAGAACTCAGACCCTTATAATCCACAGAAAGTTCACCATTTCTTCCATAGGGAAAAACAACAAGAACACAATCAGGGTGTTCGAATTCAATCTCGGGCATCTTACCCTTCACCGGACGAGACGGAATTTTGAAATGGGGGAAAAACTCCAACCCCATAAGTTTCTCCAGATCAGAATAACCCAACCCATCGAGGAGCTTAACATCCCATCCAAGCCCAGCAGCGGCCATGGCGACGGCAGCAATCGCGTGACCCACGTCATGGTTACAGTACCGAAACGCGCGTTCTCCATATTTCCAGGCCTCACGCCAGAAAATTGAAGTGATCCCAACAAGGAAGGAGCCTTCGGGGAAGAACTTGGGCAGGAAATCAGATGGGATTACAGCTCGAAGCTCGAGGGAGTGCTCCTTCGGGGCATAATGGGCAACAAATGGGGAGTCAGAGAGAGAATCGATGGGGGGAGCAATGACGTAGGCTTCGGTAGGGTGAAGATTGCCGCTGCTAGGGTTTACACGGAGAGACCAAGTGGAGTATCCGGTGGTTTTCCAGGCGGAAAGCGAGAGAGAGTCGTAGAGGAATTGAGAAAGCGTCGATAGAGAGATGGGTTTTGGGGAGGGGAGAGAGTGGAAGAGAGAGGAGTAAAGAGGGTCAGTGTTGTCTGGTGAGCGTTGTTGTGGAGGGAGGTGCTGGAGAGGGAGGAGAGGAGAGGAGACATAGCGGCGAAACGGGTTAGGCTGATTGGCCCAGTCAAGGCCGTGAGGGCCTCTCGCGTATTTGTTGAAGGCGTGTTTGGTCTGGTTGTGGTAATTCAGAACCTGGCTTAAGAGCTGCTCTTGAGTGTCGTCTTTGGAATGAACAACGGAATGTGAAGGGGTTGAAGAAGAAGTAGACATAGAGACTCTCAAGGATTTTCTGATGCAGTTGTGGTTGTTGTTGCTGCTGCTGCCGCAGGCGGTGGCGACGGTGCTGGCTGTCAGGGCAAAGGTGTAGGCGGGAGAGACGAAAAAATGAGGAGAGTTAAGGGAGATAGAAAACCGGGGTGGAAAGAATAGCATCTTGTCTTTCCTCTTCTCCGCTTCTTCATTTGAATGAAGTTCGTTTATTTTGGRAAAATGATAGTGCCACTACCACTTTAATATTGTCACTACAAGATTCTGTTTTGATGGATCCGATTGTCTGTTACGAGCCGTTGATACAAAATCTTACTGGTGATATCAATCAAAAACTGGTATTTTAAAAACCAACCCGGACTGATCCGTTCTTCCCTCCGAATGGCGGGACATTGGTTCAACCGTCTGGGTCAAACAGGTCAACCGTCTGGGGCTTTTGTTTGGCAAAATTACTGGGCCAAGTCACTTATGCCTCTCTTTGCATCACATACGTCGCAAAAAGTTATTCCCCACCTCTGCCTCCCTGTATTCAGTATTTGGGTTGAGCCAATAATATTTTGAAATTATATATGTATTTAACTCTACATATCCATAAATRTAATTATATAGATATAATATATAGTTACATAATTAAATATCTTTGTTATTGCAGAAAATGTAATTATTTTGAAATTATATATGTATTTAACTCTTCATACGCATGGATGAGTTCGGCTTCTATCAGAGCATGTCGGTGCCAGCAGCCCCTTGCGCATTGGAAATATCTCCTATGAAATAAACCACGTAAGGCTGTAAAGGCTGTTGGAACGGGCTTTGCTCTGATTGAAGCCGGCTTGATCCAATCTAATTAATCTTCCTTGGCTCAATAAGGAATGGGGCAATCATGAAAGCTGCTCGATGGGGTTCTTCAGTTCTTGGCGGTTTCTTGTTAGAAAATAATTGGGGAAGAGGCTATTAACCATTGAACAAGAGCTGGATACCAAAAGATGAATTCAAGCTACAGAAAATTCCCCCAAAGCCAGAGGGTGGTTGCACTTGCACATCGTTACATCTAAAGCTATACATTAATAATCAAGTAGGGGAAAAAATAAGAACAAAAAACAATGTAACGTTGAGAGCAGAGTGTATTCTCTCCTATTTTTCTTTCCTCTATAGCCAAATCCTCCAGAATAAGATGGCAAACTTTATTGATCAAGCTGACTCCTTGAAGAGACGCAAGGAAACTGACAAAAAATAACTAGGATCAGTCCCCTCTGTCGCCTTTTCCAATATTTTTTCGTCTTTTTATTTTCACTTGATCATCTGCTGCACAAAGACATAAYTCAATCATTTTCATTCAAAAAATGGCATATATATAGTATAACAGCATATTCATTAATTTTCAGAAACAAAAAAAAAAGAAATTCCTTTAAAGCTATGATATTTCAAACAAGATCCAGGATTCAACAATGATTATTGACTTTGGTCACCATTAGATTGTCTGACTGGGCGATGCGTATTGACTATAAAGGACTTCAGAAAATAGTCATTTGATGACATAGAGGCTGGAATTAATAGTTAGTTCATCACACACCATAGACGGACAACATTGTTGAGTCACCAATCATTCACCATTTTAAGGACCTATCAGGTTCAATTTTGATGGGTACTAGGACAGGATCCTCAGGCACTGATGGAGACATTGAGACACCCTAGAGTGAGATTGTACTTGTATTCTTCAGTTTTGTCAGGCCTTATGATTCTATTATAGTTGACATTCTTGCACAAGTTAACAGGTGGTTTATTAGTTGATTGAGGATGCTTTCCTTGGTTACAGAATCTAGTTGACATATATCTTGTTTTTGGATTTCCTTCCTAGTTGTTTCATTTCCATCCCCTTCTTTGGGTAAGACATTGTACTGTTATCCCTTCAACCGTAATATTTTTTCTCCCATGGATCATATATAATAATGAACTTCCTTCTTGCTGCAAAAAGCATGCTACATGCCTCAAGCTATTGCATTAGACAAAGACAGAATAGCATTTGGAAGAGGCGTTAACTATGGCCTTAATTTCCTGTTAAGGAAAACTAAAATTTTCTTTTTCCACCACCCAGGTTCTTTTTCGCCTTCCAATCTTTCTTAGAACCTTCAACTTGCACCAAATTTCTTCTCATTACTGCATTCATTAATTTTCATATCACATGGCCAAACAATAGAAACATATTTTCCATTATCCAGTTGCAATTTTTGCAAAGAATAAGTTTGCTGTATGTTAGAAATTACATACATTTGATTGTATATCAGCATGACGGTTATAAGTCTTTTTCTTTTTTGTTTAAACAGGGTTAGTTTTGTAATTTCCTTATTCATTATATTACTAATAAAAGTGGGTGGCAGTAAGAGACCAGTTGGTTCAATCTCTTCTGCTTTCAGCCCTAGTTTTCTCTTCTCCTCTCTTCTCTAATTCTCCTATCTTATTTTTCTTCTATCCAGAATTAATCCAAACTGATTGCCTCCTATTTTTCATTATTTTCTGATCCATTTAAGGATGTTCACATGGAATCAGAGCACCCTTGAATGCCTAGGCAGATTTCTTGGTTCTCCCAATAATACAATGTATACCAGTTTCGGTCTCTATAAGTTTCAAAAAGAGACAAGAGGACTAATCACACTTGAGAAAGGAAGCTTTCATGTCTCAGTTGGTGTTGAGTTGTGTTGATCTCATGGTGTGCTAATATCCCTCTACTTGGCTGTTGGAAGAGAGGCAATTTGAAGGATGTTACAGGTTGGTTCCTTCCACTTCTGATTATTCTAGTATGCGCAGTGTCTTGGTGGTTGTAAGTGGTTTGGTGATAAATCTTTTTGGTGTCTGAGATCGGCCAATATAACAAGAAGTTTCAGGTGTTCCTTTGTATTCAGATTATTCTTTGCTATGGCATTGACATGTCGTGAAATCAAATCGGGTATGGTGTTGCAACCAGATTTTATGGCTGCATAGAGACCTCAGTAAAACTCAATGGTACAAATTATGTACCATGGGAAAAATCTGTTGAGGTATTTCTCAGTGGAAAAGGAAAACCAGTGTTTTAAAAGCACAAAGGGCATTTTGTGCCTCAGGCGCAAGGCAAGGCACATGCTTTTTCAAAGCAAGGTGCAAGAATGAAAAAAATAAAAATAAACATATTAAAACATAATATTAATTTAAAAAAATAAACCTAAATTTTAAAATAAGTGTTTAATAAAACCTATTATCTCAAATCAAAATACATAAACATAACATGTACAAGCATGTGAAACTTTCAATCAAACATAACATACTTTGCATTCCTGAATCTACAAGCCGCCTTTGTTACCAAGCCCCTTGAGGCAAGCCCAAACAAGTCTATGTTAGGGTCCTAAATTCTTAATCCATACAAAAAATGATTTTATAATTTTAATTGTCTTTTAAAAAATATCTTTCATTAAGATGAATGAAAGAACAACATTAGCAAATAGGGGGTGGGCTTGCCACAAGAGGCTTTGTTGGGGTTCAGGGGAAGAGCACCCAGTCTAGCCACTAGGCTTAAAAAAAAGGCAAAATGTGCAAATTTCAAAAAGGCGCACACTTGGACTGTAATGCAAGGCACCTCAAGCATGCCCTTTAAACCAGGTGCACACCTTTTGAAAATGATACGCCTGGGGCCTAAGTGATGCAAATTTTAAGGCATGCCCTTTAAACCACTAAGGATAACTGAAAGTATGTTAAAGATGCTAAACCAGAGTCTGGGACTGCTGGCTATAATGAATAGGTGCAATAAAACATGTAGATAATGGCATGGCTTTGGAAGCATGGAGCCTCACATCAGTGGTAACCTCATGTTCCTTGACACTAATAAGGAGATTTGGGACCATGCTAGACATTTATATTCCAGCCAGGATAATGTATGACGAGAAATTATCAACTTTATCAGGATTACTTTCTTTTATAACAAGGGGRCAAGAATGTGGAAGAATACTACTCCAGTCTTTAAAATCCACGCAATAAAGTAAATGCTTATCAACCCCTATCAACTGATTTGAAAGTGCAGCAACAACAAAGGGATCATCTGGATGTTGCACGCTTCTTTTCAGGGTAAAGATTTGAATATGAACCAATTCATGCACAAATTCCAGGTAGTAGTGATATTCCTGCTTTATCAAAAGTATTCTCCAAAGTTAGAAGAGTCTCAAATCCACAGGTTAATAGTACTCCCATGTCTGAGATATCTGCTTTAGTTGCAACTAGAGGTGGTATTGGTGTTTGTGGTAACTGGTAGGGGTGCTGGTGTTATAGCTAGTGGTCATGGAACCAGAGGTGGACATGGAGGTGGTAGAGAAGGAAGTGTTGCTAGGGGTAGAGGTATTGGTGGACATGGTTCAATATGTGAATGTAGTCATAGTGGGCAAGAGGACCACATAGTTAATTATTGTTACGATTTGCATGGTCCACCTTCCAGGTAGGCAAATCATGCACCAGTTGGAGAGGATCCTACCCAAGGAACTATCGTTAATGATGTATCTGCTTCTAGAGCTGGAAAGGAGGAGTTGGTATCTATTTTTTGAAGGTAAAGAATTGTAGTGATAAGAAGCAAAAGTACATCAGCCCATGTACAATGAAGACCTGTACAATGGGAATATACAAAAAGAAAGCTCAAACAAAAAAGGGTCCAACTTGCAAAAAAGAATTCAGTTGGACACCCCTGAAATATTCCTTGTACACCCAGCCAAGAACAGAGCAAGCCTATAAGATTGCTTTTAATTTCCTCTTCATTAGAGACTTCATGATAAAAAATGCATTGATTTCTTTCCTTCCAAATTTACCAGAAACATGGTTCGTAATTTCAATATTGATGAACATTTTGCCATGTAGAGTTTGAAAATTTTCAGAGATATTTCACTAGGATATTTAGAAAATCTAAAAAATCAGGAAAGTTTTCTAGAAACATAGAATATATTTAATAAACCTTCAAGAGATCATTAGAATAAACATAATTGCATATTTAAGCTCAAAACCATAACAAAAAAACTATATAAATCAAATAGGAAAAATTAGGAGACCATAATAGGTATGTCTCTTTGTCTCTCTTTTGGTCTTTAGCCCATTTTAACTTTCATCTTTATTGTTACTAATGTTTTGACTATATTGAGAATACTCTTTTGTAGTTAATATGCATTTTTCTTTTGAATTATGGTGACTTAGTAAATTAATCATATCAATATAGTAAGCCAATTATACAATCACCAATTCCTTGTTGGTTCTTTTAGGAAAATATTTATAAAAAAAAATATGATGATTAAATATTGAAAAGTTTTTAATAATATTCTAAAAGTTCAAATTTTAAATATAGTCTATCAATGAAATATGAAATATCGCCAACATATCAGCAAAATATCGGGGATATTTTGAAAAAAAAAAGATTCCTGGAAGATTTCATATCGCCACCTAGCAAATGGGGATATTTCGGGGATATATCGCTGAATATCGTCAATATTGTGAACCATGACCAGAAGATAACAGCCAGAAAGGTATTCCACAATAGTTTGCACCTCCTTTTCAGACCCCTAGCTGACCAACCTTGCAAAAGCTGAAGCATAGATTCCAGAAAGCAAAGATGAAAACCAAAGCAGGATATTGCCATTTCCCACAACTGGTAAGAAAATTTGCAGTGAATGAAGAGGTGGTTTATGGATTCTGGAACTTCATTACATAAAGAACAAAGAGAGCTAGACAGAGGCATTCCTCTTCTTGTCAACCTGTCCACTGTTAGACACATCCCATGGACCACTGTCCAAATAAGGAAGGCAACCTTTGAAGGGATGTGGGAGAGGCATAGGTAATGTTCTCATCAAAGCTGATGGGAATATTCTTTGGAGCTTTTAGCAGGCCTATGGAAGACAGCTAGTCCTACCGAACTGAGAGAGGTGATGCAAGAACTAGGAACAGCAAGATGAGAGAGGTGTTTGTTAGCTCAACTGGAGGCACTCTCAATTGGCTAAAGTTGCTCAAAAGAAGTTTGGTTGGACGATTTGCTAACTCTGGACCAGATGAGGAAGATGAGTGGACTTGGGCAACGGCTGAATGGAAGCCGAGTAGCTCCTTCCAGGTGAGGAGACTCAATGCGGATTTCTTTCTTTTTTCTTTCAGTTGTGAGGATGAAGCTCTTGATATCCTCAAATTTGAACAAATAGCCAACCTCCTTTTGCACCCTGAGCTTTTAAAACACTGGAGAAAATAGCCAACCTCCTTCCTGAGTTAAGGCCCCTAACATTCCAGGAAATTATTTTCAGACTTGCAATAGGAGATAA